TTGTGAGTACAGCAGAGTATGTCTTGGGTAACAGCATGTAGCTGGCAAATCCAGAAGTGTTGCACTGTAAATTTGATGATTGTGCAACGCTCTAAAGAAAGCCACAAGCTGGCAAATCCTTTGTTTCCAGAAGTGTTGCACTGTAAATTTGCTGATTGTGCAACGCTCTAAAGAAAGCCACACCAGAGTGAGTCCCCATGACTTGAGCAGGGATTCAAACCCAGATCTTCTGAGTTGTTGTCTATCACTCTATCCACTATATCACACGAGCTACAGCTAAAAATGGTGGAGAGCTATTTAAATCAATAGCTACTCTAATAAGTAAATATTTATTAGCTGTTTAGAAGCCCCAAAATGGGCACAGTATAGAACATCAAAACAGGCAGTGGCCAAAATAGCTTATAATTTAATATAGAAAATGACATTGTTCTTTGTTATATTAAAAGACCATGTCTAAGATTTCAGATTCCTTTGACTTGATTATAGCAAAGTATGACAAATAAATATTGCATGAATTCTTAGTAAGGTTTACAATGAAAGAGCAGACAGTCACAGTCACAGTCACATTTTGTGAAAGACTTTGCTTGACTGCAGTCAATACATATATTTCGCACCCTCACCATTCTAGCTAAACAAGGACTCTACTAAAGTCCTTTAATGTACTGTACAATTTTAATTTTGCCAGTGTAGATTTAAGCCAAATACAGCACATTCCTACACCCACACTGTACAACTGCAAAAGATTTTTCATGAGCAAAGAGAGGTTGAACACAGAAATATTTTGTGGAGACAAAAGACCTACAGAAATGCCAGCAAGCTGAAGGGAAGGAATGCATGATAAATGAAGAATGTGACCACAGAGATAACTGGAAGAAGCAAATGTGTTCTGAGCTCTTTAAATTTTTAAGACATCACTAGTGCTACACATTTAATGAACAAAGCTATAGGTTTCCAGAACAAAAGAGAACAGTTAAATCTCATTTAGGGGCAACTATTCTGGAGTAAAAACAATACACTGACAAGTATATTTACTTCCAGTGATCCCCCTTTTTCTGCAAAAAGAATCCTATCTTGTGCTATTTGTCAAATCAAATTTTAAAAAAGGTGCAACACCTTTTTTGGTTCAAGTATCCTGATGATCAAATATTTTTCTGCCTACCTTTGAAGTTCAAATTTGTTCCTTAAATGCCACATATCATGAGCATCACACAGACCCACACTTTTAGAACTGGTAGTGCAACGAACCACCACAAACATACAATCTTTTTGGGACTTGGCAGCAACTAGCCAAAGGCCAGAAATCTATTAATATTCATGTCAGATCTGAGTAACTTGTTGCTGCCAACTAATGAAGCACCATGGTGCATCTTGGTTATGCAATCACCCATAAAACCATGACGAAGATCACCACTGGCATCTCATTAAATTAGCCATAGCAAATTACACAAATCTTACATGAACAACAACAGGATTCTAACCAACCCGTGCTTTTCCTCATGTCAAAAAAACGAAGCCTGGACAGTAATCAGTGATGTTATGTAAATAATATTTCTGGGTGCGAGCTAGGGCATCTGTGGCAAAATCATCACTGACATGTAAGAATCAAGCATAAACTAGTTGTAGTTGGTTAACAATTAAGTCCACTTACTTTTTCTTGGCCTCTTCATACTGCCAACTCAATTTTATTTTGTCAGCATGTCTGGTTTGATCATCAAATCCAAACTTTTGCAAGAAAAGACAAATGAAAAAAAATCAGCACAACATTAGAAAAAAGAGTAACACTGTGAGGGAAAAATCTAGATTACATTAGGACATCTGATCTAGTCTAACAGCAACTTAGGTAATAAATCTACAGAAAACCTACACATACTAATCAATACGTGTGATTTGACTCTCATCACACAACACAAACTAGGGCTCATCAGGACGCTAAACCACAGAGCAAGAAATATCCCCACCTCCACAGAAGCCAAGAAGAAGGAAGATGGACAAAGCAATTGTCAGGGCTGTTTTTCTACAAGTGGGAATTTTGTTGAGGAGAAAAACATATTCTGTAGACCAGTGATCCCCAACCTTGGGCCTCCAGATGTTCTTGGACTACCCCTCCCAGAAGCCTTCACCATCACCTCTGCTGGCCAGGATTTCTGGGAGTTGAAGTCCAAGAACATCTGGAGGCCCAAGGCTGGGGACCACTGCTGTAGACCATCTTGCCATTGGTGTTGCTAACATTCAGGCTGCCCTATAAAGCTTGACATCCTGTTTCCTGCTGGCAACACAGGCACGATATTGTGCAGCAATTTCAAGTCATTCTCTGGCTTTTTGGAATTGTCAATACAGAAGCACAATATCCAACATTCATAAACTGGAGGTTTTTTGAATAACTGAAATTCCTGGCTTTTTAAAATGGAGGTTTGCATATACATACTCTACATACAAATTCCAACAGAATTTTCCCTCAAATAGAATTAACCAGTGTTAGAAGATTCCAGAAGACAAACACATGATCTGTACTATGGTTACTGGGAGAAGACAAGTAGGAATAGCTGGGATGTGGCTGTAGTCCCTCTGTGCCAAAATAATTTGAAGGACTATTTTGGACTTAATGAAATGAAATGGTTAAGCAAACATATGAGTAGGTACAACATGTACAATGGAGAAGCACACACACCCTTTATCCTCTCAGGTAAACTAGTGTTGCCATGCTCACTCCACAGAATGCAGGTTAGAAAACTATGTTCCACTTTCAAAATCTTTTCTTTCTCATGAGTAAATCTTGCTTTGAGATCATTCCCAGTCACAAAGCAAAAAACAGTAATTTCACAGCTTAAATGAGTGAACTTTTGAATATTTATTCTCTATTTTTTAAAAACTTTTAAAAAACAGGCACCCTTTTTTAATGTTTGTTTGGCCACGCTGGAATTAAAAAGTTCTCTTGAAAGTCATTTGATTTTGTCTTGACTGCCAGATTCAAAATTTCCCCTTTTACCCTCCCCCCCAAGCTTGAAGAATGTTTACATCCAAAATGTTCTTGCGGATAAGAAAGACAGAAACTCAGAATTTTTTTGCCTCTCAAATGACTATTTTTAACCTCAGTATTAGAGCCCCAGATGTCTGGATTCCTTCCAAATAAAAAAAGGGGCTGGACTGACCATTCCCTTTCAAGAGAAACAAGTTTGGTCTCTTCAATCTATTTGATCTGTTTTAAAATTGGAGACACAGAAGGTCACAGGGGTCTGTACAGGGAGGGAAGGGGTAAAACAGTTTACCTTAAAAAATGTAACTCGAAAACCATTTGCCTAAACATTATCAATTCAGGTATGGAGGAAGAGCAGACTGCCCGCTACCTCTGTGCCAAATTTGATGCTTATCTGAAGTCCAGTTTAAAAGTTATTATTTTGTTGTTTGGGGCATCATATTTTTTGAGTTGGCTTAAGAATGCTGAATTGGGCTGGTGTACAATATCTACTGCTGCATGCCTGTGGAGCAATAACATCAGAACACTTCTTGGAAATTAACTGCACTGACAACATTAATGATTATTCTATTTTTGATTCAAACAAAAGTCACAGTCCTCTCACATTTCCTTTTCATGTCACATACTGTTATCAGTCCGGACAGCGGTGGGTACCAGAAAACTTAAAATCACTGTTTCATGTATGTGAAATAGATAATTGAAATATGACTGGGCAAAAATATGCATTCATAAATTATTTCTCAGTGGTATCTCCACCCTCCATGGAGAAACAGGTCATAAGAGAGTGGTTGTACTGCAACAACTGTGGTGTAAAGAGGGGAAATTAGTAGTTAAAAGCATACATCTAAGTTTTTTAGAAGTAGACAGTAAAACTCTTTCACAAATTAATACAGAACTGAGGAACTATATAAATTCCATAATCTGGAAATTCCAAAATAAATGACTAACGTTTTTTAAAAACATACTTAAGCCTCGACATTAAAGCCAGAGTGTAAATAAACAAATCTCCAGATTGCTTTCCAGTATGTTATAGACTAAGAAGAAATTCTCCCAATGTAGTTGGATTTGTAAGAAAGTCTTACTAACTTATAAAAAAGCAGACATGGTTGTATAGTTTAGAATGGAATGTTTGTGAAGCACCAGCTTTTATTATATTACCTGTATTCAGACATTTCAACACCACTGTTCTGTTAAAGAAAGGATCAAAGCCTGGTTTTCTCTTATCTGTTCATATTATTGCATCCCCTTTTGAAGCTGCCTCTTTTTTTCATAGCAAACATAATGCATTAGAAGACATAAATACCTCTCCAATGATGTCAGTTTGAGAACAAGCATCACAGTGTTGTTGAGGTAAACTGGAGTCACTGATTGAGCCGTAAAAGTCCTGCAAAGGTTCTTGAATACAGCAGCTATTTCTGAATCCATCTGTCAGCTTCACCAAACTCTTTTAAAATAAAAACAACAAGGATAAGGGGAGAACTCATACTTAGATTCTATGTAGTACTTGCACTAATGGGGGCGGTATATAAATCAAATAAATAAATAAATAAACATTGAGGGTTGAATAATTATTTGTAAAATAATGGATTAAACAAAAGCATAAAGATTTCTCAGTACATTATGGCATTGGCTAGTATCCTGTTCCATAGTTCCATCATGTAGTTGGAGTAAATTCATCAGCAAACACACCCATTGAGCTTTCTATTCTCTTTTCAATTTCAAGTTAAAAATGACTTTGTCTCATTCCATACAAACTGTGTGTAACACGAAATCAAGTGAGGATTTCTTTAAATTCGTGACAATTTGCTGCTGCCAGTGATGCCACACCCATTACATTGCTGGAGCTATGGAAAGGAATACTAGCCATCTGACAGAATGAAACTGCTACTTGCACAGAAAGCCTTTTATAAAAAGTTAGGCTATATATACTAAAAAAGCTCACAAGATTGTATACACAAGAATATTTTAACTGGCAAAACTAAACCTAAGGAACAGAAATATTATGCTGGAAATATCTATAAAGATCATGTTACAAGACATAACTGAGATTTTAACTTGAGGCAAGTGCCATTATTTTTAAAATCAACTGGGAAAGCATAACACTGATCTACAGATATCTTTGAGCAACAGTTTGGCAGAAACGATAGCAATTTTCTTTCAGCAACCAAAAACAAAATGAAAAACAAGATAAAAACAAAAATGAAAGCATTGTCTTCAGAGAAAATTTCCTTCAGTACTTTCTAGAGTCTTTCTAGTTCTTTCAGCTTAACAGATCAGGTCATGATCACAGATTTTCAGTTCTACAGGACTCCAAACCAAAGACGAAGAAAAATTTAGAGCGTAAGAACAATTACCAGAGTTCTAATCCTGCATTATAAATGAAAAGACTGATCTTAACTGTGTTTTTACAACCAAGCACCACCACCTTTAACTAAGCTTGCTGATTTGGAAACAGAAGACGACAACTGAAACAGTGACACTGCAGTATTCTATTCAGTCTGGAAGCTCCAAGATCATTTGGCTGGCGATTTTAGAAATGTTTTATGTTTATAAATTTCTCAGTGCCTAGGTAAAGGTAAAGGTAAAGGTTCCCCTTGACAATATTTGTCCAGTCGTGTTCGACTCTGGGAGGCGGTGCTCATCCCCATTTCCAAGCCATAGAGCCAGCATTTTGTCTGAAGACAATCTTCCGTGGTCACATGGCCAGTGCGACTTAGACACAGAACGCTGTTACCTTCCCATTGAGGTGGTCCCTATTTATCTACCCGCATTTACATGCTTTCAAACTGCTAGGTTGGCAGGAGCTGGGACAAGCGACGGGCATTCACTCTGTTGCGTGGATTTGATCTTACGACTGCTGGTCTTCTGACCCTGCAGCACACAAAGGCTTCTGCGGTTTAGCCCGCAGCGCCACCACATCCCTTCAGTGCCTAGAGATTCCCCCAAATACATGCAAGATATGTAAATAAAATTTAAAAATCACACACATTTATTAAAGTGGTCTCTGAGCTTCTATGCCAGTGATGGCAAACCTATGGCACATGTGCCATAGCTGGCACACAGAGCCTTCTCTGTGGACACAAAAGCCATAAGTCGCCATAGAGAAATATTTACCCATCCTCTGATCCTGGATTTTGGCATTCCCCTCCCCACTGGACCACTCTGCTGGTTGAGTGGTCCAGTGGAGGGGTGCAATGGCGACCATGACCGGTCTAGCCCAACAGGGGACTGGAGGATCAGTAAGTATTTCTTCGTTAATACCGCCCCGGGGGAGGGGGGAACCCTGGCAGTGCAGGAGCAGTTGTTTTTTCTAAACTAAAACCTCAGCCTTTTCTAAACTAAAACCTTGCAGTATTGGCACTTTGAAATAAATAAATTGATTTTGTGTTGCAATTTGGGCACTCGGGTTTAAAAAGGGTTCAACATCACTGTTCTACACTGTTCATATATTTGTGCACTTCAGTTCTGGCTCATAAGGCAGAGGGACAGACCAGAAACTAGAAATTACAATTTGAAATAGTTTCTTGGATGCCCAAACCAATGATGGTGTGGAATCAGTGCTTGCAGGGTTGAAACACTGGTGCTTTTTATTTGCAGGAACAACACAACCTGCCACTCACACGCCCTTCAGGTTTTCTATTGTCTCTATATTTAGCTTCGATTCTCACAATTACTTGGAGAGGAGCAGGGACGGAGACTTGCAATTCACCAGTCAGTGTAGTCCAACTTAAGTCACACTGGCAACTTGACTTGTGGATTTTGACGAGGGCTCTGGACTCACCTTGCAACTCAGACCCATTTGTCTGAGTTGCACTGTCAAGTCCCTATGAGACTTCCATTCAAGAGACGTCCTGCTGTCTCTGGGAACATGTGCGGGCGGAGGCAGCAGCCCAGCTCCAGGAACAGAAGCCAGATCTACTGCCTTTGAAGATGGCAGCGGCAGGGATGATGGTGGGAAGCCCAAGTCTTTGGGTCCCAGTCCTGAGTACCAAGCCTTTGGGGGGGGGGGATGACTTGAGACTCTGATTCGAGACTTGAAGCTTGGGACGTGTGCCCAAAAGCTCAGACTTGGGGCTCAGGCCCTAAGAGTCAAACTTGAGACTCGGGTCCCAATACCTGCCAGCGTCCCTGGTGAAGGGACTTTCCCACCAATAACATATGAATGTGGAGTAATCTGAGGTTTTTAATGGGCAATTAAGATCTATTAGTTTACTTACAATAAACCTGATAGAGATGAAGATTACTAGTCTGATTTGTTCATATAGATCAAAAAAACCAATCTTTGTTTACTCTCTTGAGAACATGTCTGGGGGGGGATCATCATGGGCAGTACTTCAAAATTGCCACTATACCAGTGACACAAACCCAGTTCAAAAAACACTGGGAACAAACATCACAAAGGTATGTTTGTGTACTTGAGAAGTTCTCACTTCAACTATCCTGACAGGGGTGGGGAAGAGGGTACATTTTCTTCAAAATATCCATACCGCTTACTGTTTAAGAGCAACAGATCTAACTGTAGCCAGTTTGCTTATTTCATTATATACTTTCTTTTACAAATCTTCAGCAAATTCAAGTACAGAAACCTAAGAGGTTGCACTTTATTATTTTCCCCCCTCTTGTTTCCTGAAACCCTGTCACATGAAGCAAACAAAGGATTCAATTCAGGACATCCCATATAACCATATAAAACAGATGGTGAATCATATCCTCATTATATACAGTACATCCATCGTTCAGCAGTGTGCCTTCTACACTTTAGCTTTGTTGTTAAATGGTATCAAATTGGAACTGATCTATAGCGACCTATTACCCAAATCCAACACCCTATCCTCCAGTGAGTTTCCATGGCTAAACAGGGATTATAATCCAGATATCCTAAATCCTAGTCTACCACTCTATCCACTATACCACACAGGGTACGATTTAGTTTAGGGTTATTCCTGCCAATCTAGCAGTTAGAAAGCATGTAAAAATGTGAGTAGATAAATAGGTACCACCTCAGTGGGAAGGTAACGGCGTTCGGTATCTAGTCACGCTGGCCACGTGACCACGGAAACTTCTTTGGACAAACGCTGGCTCTACGGCTTGGAAATGGGGATGAGCACTGAGCCCTGGAGTCGGACATGACTCGACTACATGTCAAGGGGAACCTTTACATTACATCTTTCCCTTACATTACAGCTTTCCCATGAATCCTTTTTCTTTTACTGTACTGATATATTTCCAGTAAAACATCTATGTTAAGAGTATGAGTATATAGATGACTGGATTCCTTAGCAGACAACTAAAATTAGAGGGAATGCCTCGAAAACTTTGAATTCTTATTTAGACCTCACTGTCTACTATTCCTTATCCTTCACTATCTATATCACAATCTAGTCGTAATCAAGTTTGACAATAGTCATATTTACCAAAGATTTACTCAAGAATGAGTCATATATATCTACTCTAAGACCATCAACAACAATGAACATATCTAAATTGTGAGTATGTGTGTGTTTTGTCCATTTCAATGGATGGCAAACCTTTCCAGGGTTTTTCATGTAGAGGATATACATAAGTGGTTCACCATTCCTTTTTTTTCCCCTGGAGCTGTGCAATTTACCCATGATTACAAAGGCTGACTTTATATATAGGAAACACACTGTGGAATTGAACTCCCAACCTCTGGCTCTGCAGCCAGATACCTAAACCATTGAGCTATCAAGCCAAAATTACAAAGTAGTTATTTCCTTCCAGTGGGACGATTTGTCCACTTTGCTGTATTTGCTGATCTTGCGCAAATTTCAGTCCTTTTTCTCCTACAGCCAGAGGAGTCAATTATACTGCTAAAACTCATTCAACAAATTAACAGGACTGAATTTTTTTTTAAATCACAGGCCGCAACACTGATCTTAAGAGTTAGGAAGGATCACAGAGGCAAAATAATTCTAAATAACCTAGTCAAAGGGCATCTGAATTGTTATTGAAAGCAGTTTAAGGGAAATGTGGACTAGAAATAGTCTGACGGTAGATGTGCAATTGCATAAAGCACAGGACTGGGCAAAGCAGATTATATATTTCATGACCTATGTGTGTGAATACCAGTATTCATGCCTTCTTCCTTGGCATTTGTTGGCCCAACATCACTGGAGTTACTTTAGCTGGGAAAAATGAAAATATATATATTTCTTAGCTTCTGGCTATGCTAAAAATTACACAAAGAGGCATATTTCTCTCTTACATAATTTGAATACAAATACTAAAAAAGAATCAATTAAAGGAGAACTATTAACATGCTTGAACCGTACATTATGTGAAAATGAAATAGTTATAGAACCAAAGATAATTTAATTTTCTTGAATTGCGAATCAGTGGCCATACTCCATGCAGAAGCAGCAATCTGCCTTAGTACAATATTGCACTGTAGAATATTATTACTTGTCTTGTATAATATTACTACAAAAGAATGTCTTACCTGCATCAGGTCTTGCCGCTCTCTTTCACCCATACATATAGCCTTCCTAATGCTTCGAAGCTCATTCATTATTGCTTGAGCTTCATCCAATTTGTAATTCATGTGAGCATTTGATATCTTACGATCTATCCTATTATACAAATACAAACAAGGCAGCTTACAAATTTTGGTAACTTTCAATCCGAAATATATCTTGAATTTTGAGTTCAAAAGTAGAGAAGTCTGTTTTCCACTGAGGCAAAGTATGGGAAGTTTGGCCACAGACAACTTTTCTAAGATCTGGCTGGGGAGGCTACTAACTACCTAGTAGGTAGGACTAAGGCCAACAGTGGGCATGCCCACAGCTTCCTCTTTCTGTTACCCTTGCATCCAGTTTTCCCCTTCTTGGCATCTACATGAAATTAAAATTATTGGAAATTAACATTCTCTCATGATCTCTTGGATTTCCTGCTCTTGCTATAAATGCAGGAATATATGGAAAAACAGAAATTATGTCAGCCTCCTGTACCGAGTAACAGGCAGAATATTTAATGATACCAAGCAACAATTCATACCAGGAGATCAATCCTGTCTCCATGGTAATATTCTCACAAAAAATTTAATATTTACTGAATCAACAAAGACCAAATCAGTTACAGAGTACATGACAAAATTTTGCCCAACAGGTACAATTTTGTTTCTCTTACACCACCAGAATTAGGCAGAATAATAGTCTACTACATTTCAACTCACTCTTGCAGTGTCTCTACTCCTTTCTCTTTGTACTGTAATTCTTGCTTCATTTGTGTTAATTCTCGTTTTAATCTAGAAAGCTTGGGACAAAAAAGAAAAAAGAAGTCAAGGAAAAATATGTTTGATAATCGTCTCCTTCCTTATGGTATGAGTTGCTTTACCTTCCCAGCTACACAAAACATCAAAGATTCTAGTGTTCAACTGTATAAAAATTTAAAGGAAACAACTTGTGCATGACAATATACATCTAGTTGCCTGTACACTCACATGTCTGTAGGCATCCTTCAGTCTCAAGAGGCTATGGTAATGTGCTCTGAATAGAGGTCTCAGAACAGCGTCTAGTGTGGCTGAAAAGGCCACTTCAAGAGTGACAATCTCTTCTACATTGAAGACAAACACAATGTGGCCTGTGTCAAGTTCCCTGATTTTGCTGGTTTCGGGACTGCCTCTTTGCCTCAGCCTGCTGAACAAGTGTCTCTTCAAATTGGGAGAGTCCATGCTGCACCGCCTGCCTCCAGGCTGAACGTTCAGACGTCAAGGTTTCCATCTGTTGAGGTCCATTCCTAAGGCCTTCAGATCCTGCTTGCAGATACCTTTGTATCGCAGCTGTGGTCGCCCTCTGGGGCACTTTCCTGGCCCCATACAGGAGATCTTTTGGAATCTGATCGTCAGCCATTCTCATGACATGCCCAAGCCAATGTAGACATCGCTGTTTCAGTAGTTTATACATGCTAAAATTTCCAGCTCATTCCAGGACTACACTATTTGGAACTTTGTCTTTGTAGAGGAAGTTGAACATGTTACATATGCGTTGTCTCTGACACATATTTGTCTTGCCAGGTGATGCCAAATATGTGTCAAGAGACAATGCATATGGAACGTGTTCAACTTCCTCTCCTGCCGTGCACAAGGGTCCAGGACTCACTGCAGTACAGGAGTGTACTCATGACACAGGATCTATAGACCTGGATCTTGGTATATGCCGTCAACTTCTTATTGAGCCATACTCTCTTTGTGAGTCTAGAGAACATGGTAGCTGCTTTGCCAATGCATTTATCCAGCTTGACATCTAGAGACAGAGTGTCAGAGATCGTTGAGCCAAGGTACACAAAATCATGAACAACCTCTGGCAAAAGACTGGTGTTCAAACTATATAGGGTTTCTACCAAACAGTATAAGGCTGATTAAAATGTTCAAACATGTCTTTGTTTATTCTTAGTTTTTAATGACACTGCAGAAAGGTACACTGTATCTTTTCTATAAGAAACATAAATTAATTCAGAGGACCAAGGTAAAAAATATGTATACAAATTTATCCCAAAGATCATACTGAGAGACCAGTACTACTACACTATTGTTTGCCTACGCTATTGTCTCAATATTTTTACTGCAAGGTATTATTAATAACTTAATTTTCAGTATAAAATATAAGAAAATAATTACTCACTCTGTCACGTCGACTTGCTATTTCCGCTTTAATCTGACATGGGTCATATTTGGTATTAGTTGAAAATCCAGAGAAGGCTGAACAAATGGAAAACATCTTAATGTTCAAAAATAAACTCCAGAAGTTTGTAATGTGTTTAAAACAGATTTTATGTGCCATAATTCTGTAGGAACCTCCTACTCTAGTTAAGATGGCAGCACAGACTTAAACTGTTCATCTCAGTCCATCAGCTGAACTAACAGCAATGTATAGTTTAGATGTATCACTATAGTCTTATAATATCTAAAAACACTGCAAAGACACACTTTATAATTGGGGGGGGGATGAAAAAAATTAGTTCCACCTTCTTCTTCCTTACGTTATTCTTTTCCTGCCAAACATCATCATGACTACATGGCACTTTGGGTGCAGCAGCTCTATGCAATAGCTGCTCTAAACAATAAAGATTTATGCAGAATTGGTTTGTTCTCTGAAGGATTCTCCCCCTCCCAACTATAGTACCTGTAGCCTCAAAATGACTGCGTGTAAAATGGAATGATACAGGCCACAGCATAGGTGCTATAGACAAAATCCTACAGTGAAGAATCACAAACAAGCACTCTCCAAAATGGTGGTATCAGTACAAAAGCTTCACTGTAGGCACCTGGAATTGTACTATTTTCCTCTTGCCATCACCTGTACTGGAAGGACTATTTCACACTTTTTCTCTTAATATATATGAGTGCTCTTAAATAACAGAGAATACATATTTTCTGGTAAGTAGTTCGGCAGTGTCAAATGAAAGGCAGTGTTCTTCTAGACACTTACCAGACATAATACAGTAGTTACAATTTTATTATGAGTGCACTTTCACAAGGCAGCTTTTACCACATAGAAATGAAGTGGGAAATTCAGCCTGCAGTGATATCCCACATATAAAACAGCCATTTTAACTGGCCTGGAACTGATACTAAAGTATCCTAGCCCAAACTAATTCTAGTCAAATACAATGACTTGTTTCTGCATTTTACTTTGTGAAGAATCTCAGAAATGTTCATTTACAGGGCATTTAATCTACAAACAGTTAAACAGGGAAATAAACAGGGTAAATACAATGTATTCGCGAAGGCTTTCACGGCCGGGATCTAATGGTTGTTGTGGGTTTTTCAGGCTCTTTGGCCGTGTTCTAATTTACTTTGGCTGTAATTACACTTTGACAAACTGATATATCACTGACTGATACACAGGTTATATAAATATATTCTAGAATGCACACATCATGATTCTTATATGCTATATCTGAAGACCATTACGGTACTTCTATTACGCAAAAATCAAACTTTGAATTAGGCATGCATGTCTATTTTCACAGGACAGAGCTAAGTATCTTTAGTTATAAACATCAGTTGCAATTAACATGAAATAATGGTTAAGACTGGTCATGGATATTCTCCCAGGTATACCAATGAGAACAGGAAGACCTCTGCTCACTAAAATATGCAATTGTGTAACAGCTACACCACATAAGAAATAGAGGAATAGGCTATGCACTTTTCAGATACTACTTAATATGAGTTACCATAAGTAAACTGAAGAGAACAGCAATGTTGAGTAGCTACATATAACCTGGAAGCTTTGCCCAGTATTGCGCTTTAGAAATAAATCTAATTAAGACTACAATCATATGGATGATTAATTGGAACTAAGCTGTGTTGACTCTAGTCAAACTTCTGTGTAAAACACCAAACATGGTGATATTAAAAATGGATTTTAAACTATCATAAAGCAAATCTTACTTTTTATACTGGTATTTCAGAAGCAATAAAATAAACTGGGATTTATCCCTATGAAATCGATATGCGATAAGGAAAGCTTCTATCCAAGCCTTTACAGTTTGCATTTGATTTGTCTAAGCTCCAGAAGAGTTGCAAGCAGCCCAGTTAATCAAGGAGAAAAAACCTGATTCACCAATATTTGTGCTCAATGAATGAAGAAGTGTCCTTCTTTACAACAACCTGCAATAGCTGGTCTTCAAGAACTACTGACAGTTTTGACAACTATGGAAAAACATTTTATAAAAACAGAATGACTCATAATGTAAAGCATCAATTATAACTAAACTGTTTTTCCTGATTCTATTTCTGACAAGTCTGGTACTTTCTGGTGAAATCTCACCAGAAAGAAAACTGATGTTCTACAGAAAAACTCTAACAGCAACACAGTACATGAACAGAAAACAGTTGATAACAGAAATACTAGATAGTGTTCATACACTAATTTTTAACATTCTTTGTATTAAAACATATTTCTCAAAACCTTGGTCAGAATGACCCGTTCTGGAATAAAAATGATCAGTAACCTGTTTTATATACAAAGTCTTTTTTTTTTCAATCATTCAACAGAAATTCATGCTCTGTACTATACTCACTAATATAGAATTAATTATAGAATCATGGAGTTGGAAAGGGTCTATAAGGCTTAGTTCCTAGGTTCCTCCTTTTTGTCCTTTTGGAAGAGAAGGACAACAATGGCCCTCCTCCAATCATCTGGCACTTCAGACACACTGCAAGATTTCAGGAAAATAACAGACAGTGGTTCTGAGAGTTCCTTAGCCAGTTGCTTCAATACTCTTGGGATGCAGATCATCAGGCCTGGTGAGCTGAACTTGTTCAAAGTAATAAGATGTTCCTTGACTATGTATTAATCTCAACCTGTTCTCTCCATTTGTACTTCACATTTTCCTGGAGGTTCATAGACTGTCTTTTGGGAGAAGACCAAACTCATTTTTCCATTCCCACTCAGCAGCTGAGCCACTATTTCTTTTTCTGCCTTTTGATGTGCCTAAACCTGAAAAATGTTTTTTGTTACTCTTAGTGTCTCTTGCTAACCACTGTCCACTCTCAGTTTTCACCTTCCTAACAGTATCACTGTAATCATTTGCTACCAGTATGTCCTCTTCCTTTGTGGCCTGGCCTTCCTTCCACTTTCCGTATCTGTCCTTTTTTATTTTCAGGTCCTCTCTTAGTTCTTTGTGAAGCCACATCGGTCTTTTAAAAAAAATATTTTGCTTTCTTTCACCTTTTTTTCTTGTTAACATTGTCTGTAGCTGCACCTTTAGAAATTCCTTTTTAAGAAACCCCCACCCATTTTCGACTCTTTTCCTGATAGATAAGCTACCATGGCAGCAAATCCTATTGTTGTTCTGAGTTTATTAAAATTGAGTTTCCTAAAATCTAGTGTACACATTCAAAATTTCAAGTAGAGCATAGCTACCATATTTTCCTGTGTATAAAACACAACTTTTTCCTTAAATAATTTGAGAAAAAATTGAGGGTCATTTTATACACGGAAGGCAGCCGTTTACAGGGCTTAGCAAAAAGGAAGGGGAGGTGTTTCTCCCTTTCTTTTTGCTAAGCATGTGCCCTTGCCTTTTGCAGTTAGAAAAGGAGGGGGGTCATCTTATACATTGGGGTTAGAAAAGGGGGGGTCATCTTATACATTGATGTTATAAATGGAAAAATACAGTACTTTCTCCCAGAGTTGATATATTCTCTCTGAATTCTTCATCCTTCAGTTCCATGATACAAAGTTACTACAGTACAAAGCTGAAACCAGTGTAAGTTTCTTGAAAGTAGCTTCTTACTGAATCACTGAGACCATACATCAGTTATTATTAACTTTTCACATTACCTCAATGGGACTTACCTTAAGTGTGATAAATGTGATCTGGATACAACTTATTTTCTATTTAAATATCATGAGGTTCTGAATTCAAGTGTAAATAAAAACACCAATTTGATATATTTTGTCTCAATTTTTCCTTATGTGAAATGGTGTCTTAATAAAGCTTGGAGACAGTCTTCAAGCAAGCTTGTAAGGTGGAAAATGGGCTTAGCCAAAGTGGCATACAAAAATAAAGGAATAAATAAAAGCCTACGGTCGGCTTTATAAAATACAGAATCTAACCTAAATAACAATTGAAAGCTAAAATTGTACTCTTAACATGATACTGAATGATTGAAGAATTAACTAGGAACAACTGATGAATATTTTAGCTTTCTTTAAGGGCTCTCCACTACCAATTGCTGGATCAGGAATAGGAACCATTGCTATAATGAGCCGCCTAGAGTGGTCGAATCTGACCAGATAGGTGGGATAGAAATGAAATAAATAATAAATAATAATAAATAATACAGGAATCATTTGCACATGTAGTTTTTCATCCACCTAGGAATATACAAATTGAACTGTGGACTATTCAGAGAGGAAAGATCAACTTACAACTGGCATAAGAGCGACTGTCATCTTCACACAATTTATGCAGTTGTTGGTATTCTTCTTGTGCTAACTCAAAACGCTGCTGCTTAATTTGGTAAATTTCCTTTTTGGCATTAAGTGCTTCCTGGGCAACAACTAAATATTCCTTTAGCATACGCTCCTGCTCTCTTCTCCATTGCTCCCTTGGATCCTCAATTTGTGTCAGTTCTGGTAAGAAAAAAAATGTTCAGATATATTCAGTGGCAAAATCAGCACAAATATTTTTGAAAGGCATGTCACCTCAACCACACCCATTTCCTCTCTAAAAAATAAAGCAAACTTGCAGAGCTCCATCAATTTTTCATCTAACTTTAACTGGCCAGAATCCTTGTTGTTAGATCTGCCACCACGATGCCATCAGTGCAAATTTCAACAGCAAATTAAGAAGTCAGCATAGGCATATGTTATCATACACGTGACTTTCATGTAACACCAAACACCTATGCTGACTTCTTATTATGTGTCGTCAAGTCAGAATCAACATATAACAACCCTAGTAAGGCTTTCAGGGTTAACTGGCCAGAATCCTTGTTGTTAGATCTGCCACCACGATGCCATCAGTGCAAATTTCAACAGCAAATTAAGAAGTCAGCATAGGCATATGTTATCATACACGTGACTTTCATGTAACACCAAACACCTATGCTGACTTCTTATTATGTGTCGTCAAGTCAGAATCAACATATAACAACCCTAGTAAGGCTTTCAGGGTAAGTGAGATAGCCTATGCTGACTTATTATGTGTCGTCAAGTCAGGATCAACTTATAACAACCCTAGTAAGGCTTTCAGGGTAAGTGACATATTTAAGGAGTGACTTTAGCAGTCCCACTCTCCCTGTGAGTTGAATCCTGGTCTCTCCACTCTCCCTGTGAGTTGAATCCTGGTCTCCAGAGTTCTAGTCCCTCACTCTATCCACTATACCACCCTGTGTATTCGTGCTGACTTAACCTGTGAAAATTCACCACTGACATTTACATCAATAGAGATGAAAAGGATTCTGGCCACTTTGAAACAAGGCGTGGTACCAATATAAAGTCTTGTTCACCATTATATTTTTGAACATGCAACTCCCTTTATTATTCCCTCATCAACAAGGCGTGGTACCAATACTGTATAAAGTCTTGTTCACCATTATATTTTTAAACATGCAACTCCCTTTATTATTCCCTCATGCTCACAAGAAGATGAGAACATCTTTCATTTTCAAGTCTAATTTGTCGTTTTGTCCAGAGAGAGCTGTAGTTTTATCTTTTAATCACATGATGGTTGCCATACAGCAATCATCACATGGAAAGCTATTTTACATGGCAATCTATTCAAAGTAGTATTTCAATAGTGTTCACTTCAGTAAGCATATGAAATGTAGAAAAAGATTTTCCAAATTTGCTACTGGAAAACAGTGGGAAGTACCGGCGGTTGTTTTTTTTGTTTTGTTTTGTTTTTTCTCCAAATTTGCTACTGGAAAACAGTGGGGAGTACTGGTGGGTTTTTGTTTTGTTTTGTTTTGTTTTTTTTGAAGCATGCCCACTTCTCCCAAGATCTAATAGGTGCCACCAGCTGCCTAGGCTAGCATGAGGGACAAATGAGCCATAAAATGGTGTGTAGAGGTATTATTTCCTTTACATAAGTTTCCTAATTAAAATTCTCCCCAAACTATTTCCCTACTTAATGCAGGGCAGAGATGAAACCATACAGAGGAAAGCATTCAGAAGAGACCAAACACAGTCTGAACAGATGAGACAATGATACAGGGACCTTCCAAACTTGTCAAGAAATGAGTTTTAGTTTATTGGTCCTCGTTAATCCTATTACCACTATGCACCACTTCAGCAGTTCTGATACCTTGTCTCACACCGATAAAGAAGAAAGTTATCATCATGATATAACATCCTCAAAACCTTTAATTATCTCTTTCAGTGATTTCATGTAATTTTTAAAGAGCATGAGAAACAAAAAAGGTCTCCAAGCACCACTCTTTGCAACCAGCATTCTATGTACAACCTAAATTTTTGTGCAAGAACTGAATCACAGGTTGAACTCCGAAATTATGAACCCTAATTCTTTCTGTTGCCATTAAGTAGGATGATACATAACAAAAAGAACTGGAAAAATAATAAGACCCAGGAAGTTCAGTAGTACATGCTTCACTTACTATTTCTATGAACTTATTCTGAAATCAGTAAAGTACCAGCATACTCCTTTGCTTTCTCTCCATAAACCCATACATCAAACACGCTCTTTTAATTATAGCTGAACGTTTCATTTTCCAACATCTCAATGACAAATATCCAATCTAAATGTAGAGTAGGTAGGGAGTGTCAAATTAAAACATGGGTGGTCCAACAAAAAATGAAGTATAGCATTATGTTTCTTGAAGCTGGAGCCATTCAGGAAAAGAAGACTCCTGCCACTCAGTACCCACTAGTATGCAAAAATAATGGGCCTGCCAAATAGTATTTGGCTTGCTATTCGCCTCACTTTAGTGCTCTTGCTTGTAAAACCTGGCCACATCACTGCCCTCCTCTGTTCCTTTTACCAATGCAGTTAGCTCCCTTGATTACAACTGCACTTGTAATGCAGCTGGGTTTAAAGCGTTTTCCAAATGAGGCAAAAGCAGCTTAACAGCTAAGGTAGGCATACTCTCTCAGGTCTTTATCACATTGGAGGCCTCTGATTTAACAGGGCCATAGGCTGTAGAATACGTTTGAGCCTACTTGGAAAGGAAAGTACACTGCAAAGGTTAGAAGTTACAGCTTCTGTTTAAGGTTTTGAATCATAAAGTGCCCAGTCACTTCTCCCATCAAAAAGTATTTCTTTGTACATGGAGATTTATTCTTTTATCATTTTGGGCCCTAAACTCTATTTAATTTCTTTAGATTTTTAATGATATAATTTTAAAAAAGGAAAATTCAGATCTTACTTTTAAGATATAACAACCAAACAATTCCAGTGACCTGCAAAAACAAGTTCCTAAAAATTTAACACACTCTTCCTCACTCCCATTACATAATCTTCTTCCTCGTCCATCTCAAGTCTCTTCTGTTTTCCATTTTACTTCCATATTCAGATCTTTCTCTACTATAAATAAATAATAAATTGCATTTTAACCCAATCAATAACCAAGGTTCTCTGAACAATCATAACACTAAAATGCAATGCAAAAAAATCAATACAATAAAAACAAACAGCCCAGAAAAATGTATGAAATAGCTGAAATATAGGTCTAAAATGCCTTGTACCAAGAAGATAACAGTCTGGTGCCAGATGAACATCCTTGGTCTGAAAATAGAATGGAAGTCAGTAGAGCTGACAAAGTTCTGGTGTCACATGATCATACAACCAGTACCATTTTAAATTAACTGGAGTTCTGAGTTGTTCCTAAAGAAAAACCCCAAATACCAATGAACACACTGGAGTAAATAGACACATCAAATGAGGATTTCTAGGTAACACCAAAAAATCCAACATTCTTCTTTTCATTTAAAATCTATGCTGAAGTTTTGTGATTCCTCTGCAGTACAAACCCCAATGTTTTGCATCATCCCCAAAATGTTGCAACTAAGATACCCAGTGCTGAGGCTAGTAAGCCCCTCAAGACAAACACTGCTTGCATTCCCAACCTATGCCACAATTTTGTAATTATTTCCAAGCTACTGATTTACAGTGTTGAGAAATATCCAGGTTTGGATGCAAGGTCTTCATATCTTTTTGAATAACTGGATTATTCTGGAAAACTGGTCTTTTTTTTTATTTTACAATTCAGGCCAATTTATGAGGAGATAATGATGAATTTAGGCCTTCATCCAAATTGTGCAAAACACCCTCAAGAAGGAATGCAAGCCTCGTTAGGAAAGGTTGAATACTCAATTGTGCAAAAAAAAAAAAGACTCCTTATGGAACCTCTATTCTATCTGGGCTTCACTTTTCTGACCCTCATTCAATCCATTCCCCTACCACTTATTCAGGACACCCATTAATTCATCTGAGTTAATTAAAGAGGAAAAGTTAAGTATGGATGTTATATCATTATCGCAATACCGTAGCCAACATTCTCAGATGACCTTTCCCCACCTTATTTTTATTTATTTGTTTGTTTGTTTATGCATTTATGCATATATACATGCAGTTTACAACAAACAGAACAACAAAGTAACAAAATAAGACAACATGCCAGTTGTAAAATGCAGTGGAGACAGAAATACAATCTCTACATTCTAGGGTCTCAACAACTGAATCTCATCACAGACAACTGGACTAGATGGTGTTCTTGATATCCCCTTAACACAACTTCAATTAGTTATTTAAGTCATGCAGCAAAGTAATTTTTTTTTACTTTCCAACCACCTTGTAAATTGATTACAGTAAGCCATTGAGGAAAGCCCATCAATTCCCATTTATACTTGTATCATAATACTGTAAATTCTTCAGCACTTGATACAACTCTGCTAGATGACATTGTGAAGCTATAATACAATGGTGCTATAACAACAGAGGTGAAAAACAATTCCTTCTTTGACACCACCACCACCAAGCTTGCTTAATGCTCTGTAAATTGATTACAATAAGCCATTGAGGAAAGCCCATCAATTCCCATTTATACTTGTATCATAATACTGTAAATTCTTCAGCACTTGATACAACTCTGCTAGATGACATTGTGAAGCTATAATACAATGGTGCTATAACAACAGAGGTGAAAAACAATTCCTTCTTTGACACCACCACCACCAAGCTTGCTTAATGCTGAATAATAAGCTCTAACCCACATTTTGACAAATTAAGCACAAGATTCCACCCAGCCCCATATTTCAGTCATTATCCTGACTGCTTCATTATCTTCAGTTCCAAGATATATCTACAGTGGTGCCCCGCTTAACGATTATCCCATTTAATGATAAAATCACTTCATGATGAGGTTTTTGTGATTGCTATTGCGATCGCAAAACGATGATCGAAGGGGTTTTTTTCGTTGCACGATGATCTGTTCCCTGCTTCCGGAACCGATTTTTTGCTTTATGACGATCAGAAAACAGCTGAGTGTCGGGTTTCAAAATGGCCACCCGCTGTTCAAAATGGCTCCCTGCTGTGCTTAGGATGGATTCCTCACATTACAGGCACCAGAAAATTGACACCCTATGGAGGATCTTCACTCGACACTGAGGTACTTCGCCCACTGGAACGCATTGAGCGGTTTTCAAAGCATTTCAATGGGCTTTTTACTTTCGCTTGACGACGATTTCATTCTACAGCGATTTCGCTGGAACGGATTAATGTTAGCAAGCAAGGCACCACTGTAGTAGCTAATCTGCCAAGGTATAAAGGCTCTTAGGTATGGTTGTGTAAACCAGTGGTTCTTAACCTTTGTTACTCGGATGTTTTTGAACTGCAACTCCCAGAAACCCCAGCCAGCACAGTTGGTGGTGAAGGCTTCTGGGAGTTGCAGTCCAAAACTCCTGAGTAACCCAGGGTTAAGAACCAGTGGTCTAGAATCCACTTACTTACTTGTCTTTCTGGTAGACCATGATGTGAGTAAAGCTCTGCTTTATTTTATTTTTTTATCATGCCCATTTAGTGACACAGCACTACTCTTGATTGAGGAAAAGAGTTTGCATTTAGCTCCAAACATTTCCATTTATCAAAGCTGCCAATGTTATCCCATTGTACTGCCTCCTGGAAAAGAGCTACATTATATATCTTATATATCACGAGTCTTTACATCAAGGACTTCAACATTCTCCAACTCTTTCTCTCTCTTTAAAAAAAAACTATTTTAGCTTGAATACTTGATTGAGGAAAAGAGTTTGCATTTAGCTCCAAACATTTCCATTTATCAAAGCTGCCAATGTTATCCCATTGTACTGCCTCCTGGAAAAGGGCTACATTATATACAGTATCTTATATATCACGAGTCTTTACATCAACTAATAGAAAGACTCGCCTAAACACACAATACCATATACATTTTTCATGTTTCAAGAATAATATCCCAAACATGGAGAATTTTAAAATATAACTATTGCTCCTGAACATATAATTATAATTTCAGTATCACTCCCTTATGTACAATTGTATTTAGAATTAAAGCCAAGGCTTAAAGCTTTTATTGAAAAAACAAACAAACCCTACTACTCACGATTTATATGGTCCATGTAATAAACACCAATCTGCTGATCGTAAACAGTTTCCCATCCCAAAGGCAGTTCATCACCAACACAGTCAGCAAAAGTTAAAGGCTTCGTAATCCTACAAATATCATAGAAAATGGAAATGGGATCAAAGGTGCAGCATTCAATTAAGAGGCCACTACTATTATTAAACACTGAATTTGGTAAGTTGTACATAAATAGATCAACACAAGGGCTTCCCTATCTTTTTAACATCAAAAGTATTACTGAATGGACAAAGTACATACAACTTTGAGAGCTGCATATTAAAAAATACCTTGTGGGACAGGAGAGACAAGATTTTTCATTTTACATTCTAAGCATAACAGTTTAATTACTACGGCATGTAGTCCTGCCAGTTTTTCCTAAACAAGGGTTGTGCTGAAATTCATTCCTACTGCAAAGTGAACCAAGTACATAGATTGTTGTTTTTCATTTTAAATGAAAAATCAGTACAGCAGCATTTGGATTATTTTGTCATGGGGATCTAAAAGAACCAACAATTTATTTATCTACATTAAGGGGGTCCAATAGTTCATACATTCAGAAAGTACACAGTTTTCACACTGAAGACAATAACAAACATAAATATCAGCTCTTACAAGCATCTGGATCTTTATGACAAAAGACATGAACAGAGGTGATCAACACTGTTCAACTGTTACCACAGCATACCTCCTTTTTTAAAAAACAATTTAGTGCTTAATACCAATTCAGAGCAGAAGAATTGGTAGAACAGAATTATCCTCTAGGGGTTTCACAGTTTTCTAGTAAAAATAATAGAGAGATATTGTGATTTCATATTTATAGGCTGACTCATTTATATTATCATAGTCTTTGAGCAGGAGAAACACCTCATAATGCACCCTTTCTATCTTTAGTCTTCAAAAACCAACCAGGCAGGAATACCTCTGCACACCAGATGTTTGTCATGATACAACTGCCTCTGTTACTCTCGACAGTATATCATGAGCCCATCTCTTCCTTTCAAGGCAAGAAGAGAGAACGAAAGGATTGCATACTATTCTTTGCACTCTGACAATTAGGTTTTTTTTTAAACTTTCCAATCTTGCTCTTTCACTAACTCAGGATTGCCTGGAATACATCACCACACATAGCCACAAGGGATACTATCTGGTGTAAGGGAAACAGCATCTTAGACTCTCCCTCATGCACAAGTCTGCTGTCTGCAACTTGTTTGGCTCAGGCTTCTAACAAGGGACTAGATACCTGTTTACCTCTTGTTCTGCTTTCTAATCAACTCACTTTACCGCTAAAACATCTACTGTGTGGCCTGACTGGACTCCTGGTAACCAAACTTCTGAATACTTTCCTTCCTCCTGCTGGTTATCCTTCCACTGTACTACTCTTACTACTTCCTGGTCTTGGTTTTCATTTCATTAGCCTTCTTTTACCAGTCTCCAGTCCTCTTTATGTCTCTAAATTCAAAGTGCTCACTTTGACATGTAAAGCCCTAAATGGCTTAGGACCTGGTTACCTAAAGGACCGCCTTCTTCCATACGAGCCTGACCGTCCTCTAAGATCAGGCCAAGAGGCCCTTCTAAAGGTGCCATCTCTGAAAGAAGTGAGGGGGGTGGCATGTTGAAATTGGGCCTTCTTGGCTGTTGCCCCCCCCCCAGCTTTGGAACACCCTCTCTCCCTATAGAGATCCGCCTGGCTCCAGCACTTTTGGCTTTTCGGCTGCAGGCAAAGACCTTTCTGTTTAGCCAGCATTTTAATTAAACAGTATTCTTTAGTTGGCCATATCAGCAGCAGGATTTATTAATATTAATGTTTTGATGAATGTTTTAAATATAGGATATTATTATAATATTGCCTATTTGTAATGGTTTTAATGTTTGTAAAGTTTTAATATTGTTGTACGCTGCTCAGAGACCACTGGTAATGGTGCGGCTAAAAAATCTTGTAAGCAAGTAAGCAAGTAAGTAAGCAAGTAAGCAAGTAAGTAAATTAGGCCACTTTCTTTGTTCTTTATTCTCCTCTACCTCCTTCCTGTCTTCACACAACTTTCCTTATTCTCTCATCCATTCTTCCTTACTGTCCATTTCAGATTTTTTTTTCTTTTTTATCAGTCAACCCCTGAATCGTTCATCTGTTCTCACTGGCCAACTGTGTATAATCTGGCTGCCAGTCACTGGATTCCTCTGAGAGCTCAGAATCCACACTCTGTAGCAGTAGGTGTCACAGCTAAAAAGCTTTCCAAATTAGCTTGAAACTGTTCTTGAGGAAGAAGGAGGTGAGCTCAATGAATCCAAAGCTAATGGATAAAACAATCATTGCTGTACATCCCAGAACAGAGTTGGGGAATATGTTTTTAAGACCAAGGGTGACAACAAGATTCCTCTCACAGGAGTGCCATCCCTCCTGCCTACCACTGAGAGAGAGCCAGACCTTGCCAATTCCCCCACCCAGGAAGACGCCACCTGGACCAGACCCAGGGATCAGACCCTAGAGAAAGATTTGAACAAACTAACAGCCAAGGAGACCGGGACTGTATTGGCGGGACGGGGAGAAAAAGTGCGGAAGTAGGGGAGGTGGGAGTGGTAGATATAAAAGGAGGGGAAAGAGAGCTACCAGTAGGCTGCGAGAGGATATGGGATGAAGACCCCTGGACGGGAAAGGTAGAAAAACTGAAGAGTCCTGAAGGAGGAGGCAGATGCCAGGAGGAGGAGAGAACTCACCCGTAAACCATCATACTGGGGTGAGAGAGAGACCAAGGAGTGGTGGAAGAAATTAAGAGACGAGAAGGAAAATGTGGAAAGAGAACGAAGGATTTTTAAAAAACCATGCTCTCTGGGGACTGTTGCCAACTATTTAACCATGATTAAGTAAATAAACTACAAGAAATTGCATTTAGGACTCTTTTGCACATAATAGCATTTAGGCCTGAAGTAGCATTTAGGTCTCTCTTGGACATAGAGCAATGTATAAGACCAAATTATTTCCTATACAGTGCAGGTTTGAAAAGCTAGTTTTAGTCTGAAAAAAGTTTGCCTAAGAGGTGCCAGAATAACATATATTTGCAGTTTATCAGTTTATCTCTTGATAATGCAAAGAAGGCAACAGACCTTGACATGTCTTTATTAATAAAATACAGTGGTGCCTCGCATAGCGATCGCTCCGTATAGCGATGAAATCACTTAGCGATGCTGTTTTTGCAATCGCAAAAGCGATCGCTTTGCGATGTTCCCTATGGGGAAACTTGCAATCATCGCAAAGCCCCCATTTTTTGCCAGATGGTCGGCGGTTTCAAAATGGCCATCGGGTAAACAAAATGGCCGCCTGCTGTTTTCAGGCATGGATTCCTCGCTTTAGAGGCACAGAAAATGGCGGCGCTATGGAGGATCTTCGCTTAAAGGTGAGTTTTAAGCCCATAGGAACACATTAATCGCGTTTTAATGCGTTTCTATGGGCTTTTTATTTTCGCTTAGCGATGTTATCGCTTAGCAGCGATTTTTTCTGCACAAATTAACATCGCTAAGCGAGGCACCACTGTACCACATACAGCCCAGTGAGACAACATACAGTACTTATCCTTAAGAAACAGTAGCTGAAATCGTGTTACTTTTGTTACACATGTTGAAGGCATAACTTTTAGTGCCTTTCAGCGGACAGTTTATGAGCCTCCACTGAGATTCTCAAGCATGCCCCAAGTCAACGAATGTGCACATCCTGAGAATTCCAGTGGTGACTATTGTCAGCTGGACGTAAATGATTGTTACACTATTTGCCTTCTACGTATATAGCATAGCAACAGAATTTCAGCTACTCTCAGTTAATCTGTACCACTTGAAAGTACAGTATTAAGACAACAGTAGCAGTGTTTTGTGAGAAGAAAAGGTTCAATGTTTTATTTCAAATTAAACATTAGGTTCACATATATAAGCAAATGGCTACCCCAATGGCATTACAACATTTAGATTATGAATTATTGATTTCAGCATATTTTATCCTCCTATGAGCCCGGGGGATCTGACAACATCTTTGCTAGAGAACCATCCATCCCCCAGGGAAAAGGGAACTCTGCAGGAAATGAAAGTGGTGGATGCTGAAGAAGTAAGAGACAGGAGACCCCTAGAGAAGGAGGGGAGGAGGAAAAGCAAAGGAAAGAGAAGGGAGAAAGACAGTTAGAAGAGGCAGAAAAAGAGAAGACAGTGTGATCGGTGGAGGAAAAGGCGCGAGCAAAGAGAAGAAGGGCATAGAAAAAGGAGGGAGTGATAGAAAAGAGGAGGCAGAAGCCAGAGCTGCTGAAGGGAGGAGGAGAAGAGGATCCTACCCCCAGGGTGCGAATGGATTGGGATGGAGAACCTGTAGATCCATAAATGGGAGCACCTGATGGACCCCTAGGAAGAGGTTGAAAGGAGGAGGGAAGGGATACCCCCAAAGCCGGACCTGGGCAAAGTGCGGCCCAAGGGCCACATACAGCCCACAAGTCGCTCCTGTCCAGCCTGCAGACAGTTTTGAACATCAAAACCATTTATAGCTTTTTGTCTAAAGTTGATCAGTTGCTTATCTTTAATATACTGCAAAAAAAACTCTTTAGTATTTGTGAAGATTAACAAGTTTAAAATAAAAACAATCATAACATCACTATTTCATTTTATTTTGAAGTAAAGTCAGTTCGGCCCCCGAACACAGTTCTGATTTTTCATGTGCCACGCCCTATAGAAATTAATTTCTCACCCCTGCCAAAAGCCCTTTTATTGGGGAGAGAAAGAGGCTCAGGCATGGGGTAGAAAGATCAGAAAACAGAGAGCAAAGATAGGAAGAGAGAAAGAAAAACGGATGAGCCAACCCGGGTCATGGAGATATTCTCTCCCAATACCTGGGACATTCGTAGCCGGGAGATGACATTGCAAACACCCGAGACCCACTTGGAGAACAATTATCCCTATTACCATTTCACCAGAGCCGGTACTGATGGACTTAAAGACTGAAGCTGTAGGAGGACTGTGGGAACACAACTTTGAGAACCCCTCCCCAGTTTATGAAAAAAAATCTTTTCTTAATCCCACAAGTTCTGAAGTTAAATGTCTGATTGATTTCGAAACCTTTATT